CTATATTATAAAGCTGTGATCACCAAGACAGCATGGTACTGGCACAAAAACAGACATATAGCCTAATGGAACAGAATAGAGAGCCCAGATATGGACCCTCAACTCAGTGGTCAAATAATCTTCGACAAAGCAGGAAAAAACATGCAATGGAAAAAAGTCTCTTCAATAAATGGTGCTTGGAAAATTGGACAGCCACATGCAGAAGAATGAAACTCAACCATTCTCTAACACCATACACAAAGATAAACTCAAAATGGATGAAAGACCTCAATGTGAGACAGGAACCCATCAAAATCCTAGAGGAGAACATAGTCAGTAACCTCTTTGACATCGGCCACAGCAACTTCTTTCAAGATACATCTCCAAAAGCTAGTGAAACAAAAGCAAAAATGAACTTTTGGGACTTCATCAAGATAAAAAGCTTCTGCACAGCAAAGGAAACAGTCAACAAAACAAAGAGGCAACCCACAGAATGGGAGAAGATATTTGCAAATGACACTATAGATAAAGGGCTGGTATCCAAGATCTGTAAAGAACTTCTCAAACTCAATACCCAAAAAACAAATAATCAAGTCAAAAAGTGGGCAGAAGATATGAAAAGACACTTCTCTGAAGAAGACATACAAATGGCTAACAGACACATGAAAAAATGTTCATCATCATTAGTCATCAGGGAAATTCAAATCAAAACCACATTGAGATACCACCTTACACCAGTTAGAATGCCAAAAATGGACAGGGAAAGAAACAACAAATGTTGGAGAGGTTGTGGAGAAAGGGGAACCCTCTTACACTGTTGGTGGGAATGCAAATTGGTACAGCCACTTTGGAAAACAGTGTGGAGGTTTCTCAAAAAATTAAAAATAGAGCTACCCTATGACCCAGCAATTGCACTACTGGATATTTACCCCAAAGACACAGATGTATTGAAAAGAAGGGCCATATGCACCCCTATGTCTTATTACTACTTATTACTGTTGATGTTAACCGTGATCGTTTGGTTAAGGTGGTATCTGCTGCATGTCTCTTCTGCAAAGTTACTGTTTTCTTCTTTGTAATTAATAAATATCTTGGCAGGGGAGGATATTTGGAGACCTTGCAAATATCTTATTTCTCCTCAAACTTCTGCCCACTAATTTTAGGATCCATCTGTGGATCTTGCTTGTAATGATTATTACAGTGGTGTTCTAGGTGATTTTCTATTTCCCTTGTTTCTTCTACTTTCATTAAATGGAATTCTTCTGTAAGAAAGAGCTATCTCTTCACCTGTATGTATGTATGTATGTATGTATGTATGTATTTACTTATTCATTCATTCATTCATTACAGTGTGGACTCATGGATATTTACTTTGTTCTTCTGAGTTGTAATTTAATACTATTACTATCTGTTTTGCTGCTCAAACTGTTCTAGCTTAGTAGCACTGGCTCATTTCTACATGTCTCCATCCTTTTTAAAAAAAAAAAAATTATTTGAGGGCGCCTGGGTGGCTCAGTTGGTTAAGCGACTGCCTTTGGCTCAGGTCATGATCCTGGAGTCCCAGGATCGAGTCCCACATCGGGCTCCCTGCTCGGCAGAGAGTCTGCTTCTCCCTCTGACCCTCCCCACTCTCATGTGCTCTCTCTCTCATTCTCTCTGTCTCAAATAAATAAATAAAATCTTTAAAAAAATTATTTGAGTTCTTTTCCTTCCTCTAATTTTACTTTATTTTTTTAAAGATTTTATTTATTTATTTGACAGAGAGACAGCAAGGGAGGGAACACAAGCAGGGGGAGTGGGAGAGGGAGAAGCAGGCTTCCCGCCAAGCAGGGAGCCCGATGCAGGGCTCTAATTTTACTTTAAAAGTATATCTGTTTTGGGGGCACTTGGATGGCTCAGTCGGTTAAGTGTGTGACTTTTGATTTTGGCTCAGGTCATGATCTCATGGTCATGAGTTCGAGCCCTGCGTCTGTGCTGGGCATGGAGCCTGCTTGAGATTCTCTGTCTCCCTTTCCCTCTGCCCCTCCCCTCCACTCTCTCTCTATCTGAAAAGAATTAATTAATTAATTTTAAAAAGTATATCTATTTTTACTGGGGATATGAGGAGAAGTGGATGTAAGTTGGTAAGGTCTCATGGAGGCTCAAGTGTCCTGTTGGGTCTTGTGGCTTTCCAAGACTCCCTTAGGGTAGAAGGATCCTTGGATAGAGGGAAGCTGAGTGCCCAGAGTCATATGGTTGTTGCTGTTTAAATCATTTGCTGTGAGTATGGTCTCAAATGTAGCCTTGATTCCAGCTGTGGACAACAGGTCTGACACGTGTCATCTTAATGATTCTGAAATTAATACTGATAGCAGAGATAGAAATCCCAACTTCTTATTTCCAGCCCAGTATTATTTCTGTGTTCTTAAGAAAGCGTAAGGCTGACTCTGCCACTTCTGAGGATATGCCATCTGATTGTCTCAGCTCTGTGGATTTTGAAACATGAGGAAAGACGGAGAGAGTGGTAGCTTCCTGGGCGTGTGTAAACTTCATTAAACTGATAATTTTCATTCCTCTTTTCATGGGAGAAGTCAGTGATACTGCCAAGTTATGAGTGCTTGATGCCTCAGATAAAAATGGATGTTCGCATTAAGTAAGAATCTTGGTGTTGGATTGCCTTCTTGGCATCCTAGCACTCAGCTGCTTTCTTCTAGTGGTCACCTGATACATCTGGCTGAACAGTGTCTAATCCCTGTGCTCTTGTCCATGACTGACCAGCGCTTCTCTTGCCGGATTAGTCTCTAGGGATCACAGGACAGCTTGGCTTCTTCCTTCCTGGAGCAATGTGCTGTTAATGCCAACCGTGGGGAACTGGGTGTAATGTAATACAGATACTTGGAATTGCTGAGTCACTTCACAGTGATGGTCATGCCCGTGAATGTGAGTGAGCAGCATGGAAGTAAAACAGTCTTTAAAGACATTATTAGACTTTTCAGACACTCTCATCTTTCCCACAATTTGTGTTAAACGTTCGGCCATCTAATGAATTCAGGTTAAGTCAAGAAAATTTTTCTGATACTAAAAATTGAGATAAGTGAAAGAGATTACCCCTGAGATCATATTTGTGAAAGTGGCTTAGATCAAATGAATAGCCCTTTAATCCTTTATTGCCATATAGATTTTTTTCTTTATTATTTTCTGTTTTGGCAGCCTGTTCATAATTTGAAAACTACATCTACTTGTTCACCAGTTGTAGATTGAGAAGCTATCAGTTTGAACCAGTGATAATCTGTCTCAGTTTGACAGTTTCGACACTATCTCATAACTATAATATGTAAGGTCGAGAGACGCTCTGGTGCCCAGGGCATGTAGAAAACATGGGGGACTGGAGAGGTGAGCTGCTAAACTCCCTTATCTCAAGTTCTTTATCTTTGGTTCCTCTTTTTCTGCAAAGAAGAATCCTAGGCTTAAACCCCAATTGTCTAGAAAAACTTATTTTTTCAAACTATATTCACTAAGCTAGTTACTGTGTACCAGCCACTGTGCTAACATAGCTGGGAATACACTCATAAACAAGATGGCCTTGACTTCATGGACCTTAAGGTCTACAGCAGTGTTGCCCGATAGAAATACAACATGCATACATGTAACTTAAAATTTTCTGGTAGCTACATAAAAAAAAGCAAAAAGAAGCAGGTAAAATAAATTTTTAAAATATATTTCACCTAACGTAATTAAAATATTATATATATTTAAAATATAAACATATAACCAATATAAAAATAATTAGTGGGATAGTTTACATTCTTTTTACTGCATTCAGTCTTCAAAATTTGGTATTTTATACTTCTAACACTTTTGACCTGCTGGCTTTCCTTTCCCTTCTTATTTCTGCTTCCCACTCCATTCCCCCTCTCCCAGCTTCCATCCCTGTGATTTCATCCTCCATTCCTTTTCCTCTTGGCCCCAAGACTTCATCACGACAGCAGTGCACCTCTCAATTTGGATGAGCCACATGTTAAGTGCTCAACAGCCTTAGATGCCAGGGGCCACTGGACTGGGCGATGCAGGTTTGACTGACACCCTATACATAATCACACAAGTAAAAATATTCAGATTATAGTGGTAATAAGTGTCATAGTGAGAGAGGAAATTCTGCTTACTCAGCACCTGGGAAGAGTCTGGGGTACTATAGGTGAGACTTGAAGGATGAGCTGGAGGGGACCAGGTGTGAAGGAAGTTATAAGAGTACTCCAAGCAGGGGCGCCTGGGTGGCTCAGTCGGTTAAGCGTCTGCCTTCGCCTCAGGTCATGATCTCAGGGTCCTGGGATTGAGCCCCGCATCAGGCTCCCTGCTCAGCGGAGAGCCTGCTTCTCCCTCTCTCTGTCTGCCGCTCTGCCTACTTGTGCACTCTCTCTATCTCTCTATCAAGTAAGTAAATACAATCTTTAAAAAAAAAAAAAAGGTAAGCGTATTCCAGGCAAAGGGAACAGTGTCATGTGATGTCTTTGAGTTGAGAAAGGAGTAAAAAGGAAGCCAGTATGTGGAAATTTGTGATTGAGGGGGAAAATGATGGTACTAAGGACAGGAAAAGAGAAATCATCCAGACCAGAAGAAATCTAGAGGAAGGATACGTTTGATTTTAAAATGTTGACTTTCAGGTGCAAAAAAGCAGAGGTGTGGGACAGGCAATGGGAGAGTGGCGGGACTGGAGTTTTAGCCTTCACAGTTGATGGAGCTGGAAAGATGTCTTTTGTTGAAGTCCTAATGTCTGAACTTCTTTTCAGGGGCCACTTGTTAGGTGGGCTGGAGACCACAATGGGGAGGGGATCAGGTTACGTAGTTCAGGAGGGCAAAGAGGCAGTGAACATAAAATTGTGTTCTAGAGAAGGCCAAAGGTCATGATGGGGAGATTGAAGTGATGAAGTCTTGGGGCCAAGAGAAAAGGAATGGAAGATTAAATCACAGGGGTGGAAGCTGGGAGAGGGGGAATGGAGTGGGAAGCAGAAATAAGAAGGGAAAGGAAAGTCAGCAGGTCAAAAGTGTTTGGTGATTCTTTAGTTGGCTTCTTGTGGCTCGGTGGATGGTGGGCAAGCCAGATTTAGGGTGAAGGCGAAGGGATAACTATCATGTTACTAATATTTCTACAAATTGGCGGTTTCAGAGGAAATGACCCAAAGACTGAAGAGAGGCCCTGGAAAATGGGCTAATCCCTTTAAGAGCCAAAATACGATTGTAAGCCTGGACAGAAAGCTTCCTTGCTTGGGCACTGTGGGAACCCTGCTCTGACTATTGCCTCCTATGCTCTTATAATCTGGCAAGTGAAGTGTCTGCTGTTCTCAGCAAATCTTAATGAGATGGTGGTGATGGAAAGTGGTATTTGTCTTTCAGATGGAGAGGTCTCTCCTCCACCCATCACCAGGAGCCGGCAGGGCATTCCTAGATCACTAGGCCCCTGGTCAACCACCACTAATCTGAAAGCCTCAACTTCATGGTAAGTCACTTGGAGCTTGCTGTGTCCATGCAGAGATCACATGAAAAAGTTTGATTTGATCCCTAAGCTCCCAGAGTTTGTGTTACCGACTCTTGAACCTGGAATACTGAATCAGCAGTGTTCTCTTGGCAGCTGTGAGAGAGAGAGAAGGTAGCAGTTGGTAAGATGGGCAATGAGCCTGTTTGAAGACCCAGTTGTGAGCTGGGCACCGACTGCAAGTGCTGTAACTAAAAAACCAAACCAAACCATTCTGCAGACCAAGTCCCTTTCAGCAGGGAAAAAAAGCTGTGCTGTGTTAGAATAATGTGATGATGTTCTGCTGTGGGAGTGATCCTGGTTTTCAAGGGCAGATGTTTGCTCAGTGATGTTTGTGGAAATGTTAATGTCTACTCTCTAGGTCTTAATTCTGACAATACCCTCCCCTCATAATCATAGACAGTTAAGAATGACAGGTGCATGAATAATAAGGGGTAACAATGTATAGGATAGAGTAATCATAAACCAAGAATGGAAGAGTAATTTTTAATCTAGGCTTGTCAAAATAACTGTGTGTCTACATTTATTGATGATGTTGCTTAAACAGTGATTAAGAGCTATGTTAAATTATTCTGGAACAGTGGAGACTTAAAAAGAATTTAGTAAATTAAGAAAATAGGATTAGGGGGGCGCCTGGGTGGCTCAGTTGTTAAGCATCTGCCTTCGGCTCAGGTCATGGTCCCAGGGTCCTGGGATCGAGCCCCGCATTGGGCTCCCTGCTCAGCGGGAAGCCTGCTTCTCCCTCTCCTACTCCCCCTGCTTGTGTTCCCTCTCTCGCTGTGTCTCTCTCTGTCAAATAAATAAAATCTTTAAAAAAAAAAAAAAAAGAAAATAGGATTAGGTCTTTGACTGTAAGCCAACCTCTTGGATGACAATTCTTTCAGGCTTTTGTGAATGGGAAGGGAGAGAGAAAAGGAGGTGGTAGAGGAGTTTGGAAGCTATATAGGACCAGATTGTTCAGGGTTTGGAGGTCATCACAAGGAGTTTGCACTTTATTCTAGGAGTAATAAGAAGCTGGGGAAGTGTTTTACATAGAGGAGTGTTCATAAGATCTGATTTGTGTTTTTAGAACCTTACTCTGGCTGCCTTGGGGTCTAGCCATATTGGATCTAGAAGGAGAGTAAAGTTCCCATTCTAATTCTGGTCATGTAGCTGGTCAAAGGCCTGATTCCCAAGTGACAGTGGAAAGAAGCAGAAATAATGCACAGAGGCAAGAAAGGAGCAGGACAGATGGTACTGGAGCAGGAGGTTCCCACTGCCCACATTCCTTCCCGGCTTGCCAATGCAGCCAGCGTCAAAGGAAATCCAGCATATGAAAGGCACCTTAAAGTTTTGTTTGAAGAGAAGCCGTGCTTAGGAACATGTTTGAAAAACTTGAAAATAGGACGATAAATGTCTAGTTTGCTATGCTCAGGGGGGCTGGCCCACATCAGGTGTGCCGAACAGACTGCCCAGAGCAGGCCCCGCACAGAAGCTCCCCGGTGGGGTTGCTCAGTCCTGCTTCTCCCGGGACACTCGCACCCTACAGAGGAGTCAGAGGGGATTTGCCTCCAGAAAGACCATCTGAGATTCGAAGTCCACCTCTTTCACTCCCTATCGTGACGGACTACTTCCACCTCTGGCCATTTGCCCTTCATCCCAGTGGACCAGCATCTGTTCTCCCCGTAGTGAGGCCCCTGTGAGGCCTGGGCGCACCCTGCCCTCTCACGGTTTATTGTGCCCAGGGGAGACAAAAAGCTCATCTCTGTCAGCTAATTTTAGTGCAAACGTTTCTTAATTAGTAAGAGGAAATTTCAGGGCACGGGTTGCAAGCAATCCTTCTTCTCCTTCTTTGCTTGGAGGCAGTTAACGATGAAGAAGCCCCTAATTTTGCCCCTCTGCCTTAGCTGAAGGAAGTCAGGGCACATTCTAGTAACCGCTCTGCATAAGGCTGCAAGGCTGCATTCCTGAACCCTTCCTTTCTGTTCAGTCCTGACTCCCAAACCTTCCAGAGCAGGACTGGACTGGTTCAGCTGACCTGTCTCTCTCTCTCTCTCTCTCTGCCTTTGAGGTTTCTGGAGAGGCAAAGTCCATTTAGATGTGGGCTCAGACTTATCTCTTCAGCTGCAGGCTGGGGGGTTTCTCTTGAAGCCAAACAAACCCCCAGGTGCTTAGCAGTCTCTGGATTTTGCCCTTGGACCTTGCCGGGCTTGGGCTCACTTTTTCTTTGCCATAAGCCTTCGGCTCCCTGGCCTGCTCTGCTTGATTGAGACCTCTGTGTCTGTCTGCAAAGCCTCGGCTTTCTCGTCTGCCTTTCTCTGTTGAACCTCATCTCTCTGACAAGCCTTCCAGACGTAGCTTAGCCCAGCCCCTCCTGTCATCTTTTCATGTGAAGCCAACTTGCTCTCGTGTAAAATCCCAGGGCTCCTATGCTGGACATTTTACAACTTTAACAGATTTTGAGAATGCAGCTCAGTCATTTTGTAAAGGTCATATCTGTGGAGTTTTATTAATCAGATTTCTTTTTCAAGGTTTTTCTAAAAGTTATTGGTTTTATTTCAAAATTTTTACACTCTATATACATTTTCTAAGTATCTGAGCCCCTGAATGTATTAGTATCTCTCTTTAAAGATCTACTGTTTTTGTTAAAGAATATTGTGGGCTCTCTCTCTCTTTCTCTCTCCATCTCTCTCTCTATATATATGTATATAAGGTTAAATGATTTTTATAAAAAGCACTCAGAATAATTTTGAATGTACATTTTGAACTTTAAATTGAGATGTGTCAGGTCTTTTTATTTAAGTGATTACATTTGAAAGTAGTTTTAGCTCTAATTTTTACAAGAGGTAAATTCTAATAATTATGTCCCTGTGTGCATTAGTAAAGATGGATATTTTTATTATTATAAAACAAAGGTGCATTAGAATTGCCTTGTGCCAGGTTCTGGCTTCGTTGCAGGTGCATGGAGGATTAAGGTAATGAGTGGGGAAGCGTCCATATGCTACGTGTTTCACAGGTGCAGGCTTAATGCGCTGGGTAGGTGAGAAAACAGTATTTGCTTTCAATCTTGCTTGAGTCAAACTTTGGGAACTATACTGACTTTTTAGAACTTAGGGAGGGCACCCCACTGACCATTCTTGGATCTTTTTTCCCCCAGTTATAAATTCCCTTGAGGCTTAATTATATATGAAAATGTAAACATAGAAGGGTTATTAAGCAGCCTATAACAAGGCCAAAGTGCCTGTAGACTCTCGTCCCGCCTTTTGTTGGATTACCTATTAGTGTTTCCTGGTAATGCACAATGAACTAGGCGTTCAGAACCTTTCAGGACTCAAACAGAAAAGTTTTTGCAAAGAATTCAATATGATTGGCTTTGAAGTGGGCCCATATGGACATCTCCCCCCTTTCCTTCTCTGACTCCTGACTTAGGAAGGCAGGTGCCTCTACAGTGATCTTTGTCTTTGCCAGATGCCATGTCTGCACGCTTTGCTTCACCTTGATCTATGGCTTTTAACAAGTAATGCATCAGGGGAGCCTGTTACGGCAGTCTTTTCTTTTTAAAAAATCAAGAACAAAGGGAATACATTTTAGAGATCATTTTTTTCCTTCTTTCTATTCATATGCCTCCCACTTGTCACTGTTTCCATCAAGATGATTTTTAAAAAGATTTATACAAGCACTCCACGTGCATTGTGGAAAAATTAGAAAATATAGAATAGCTAAAGAAAAAAAAAGTGACCCCCAAATTTCACCACACAGCGGCAACCAGTTTGGTTTATAACAATCTTCTCAGTGGGATCCATTGGCACATCAGTTTCTAAGAACTCTTCATGGGGCTCCTGTCTACTGTGGGTCTGTGGATAAAATTTACAGTTACTAGAACCACGGAGAGACAAACTCTTCCTGACACTAAGTATAGCAGGATAATTAGAAAGCCGTACCCCCAGAGTGTAATGTACAATTTGCCCAGGGAAGATGGCCCCAGTTGCATGTTTGCCATCCTGGGGGACCACTTGGCTTTGTGAGAACAGAGGAGGTCCCTGTCAGAGCAGTGAACAGTTTGGCTCACATAGACTGAATTGCAGCATGACAAACCAGTGTGGGATGACTGTGGGCTCGCTTAGGGCTTTTTTTTTTCTTTTCTTCTTCTTCAAAAAGTCTTTGAATTCTTTTCAGTGTCCGGCCGAACTTAAAATTAAAGAAAAATTCATGAAAACACCTCTGAGCTCTACTATTACTTATTAAATTAATCAAAAGATGAGTCACAGTGGCAACATCCCAATGCTAGTGTAGGTGTGGGAGAATAGATGCATTCATTTGTTGTTGGTGACTTTCAAATTGCTCCAGTAATTCTGGAATGCATTTTGTCCAATTATAGTAAGAGCCATAAAACTGATTTTGTGCCCTTTTACTCAGTATCACTCACATTATGGGATATAGCTTGAGGAAATAATCTAAAAAAAGAAAGCAATTTATATAAAGATGGTTATAGTTTAAATTATGGGTAATCAGGAAAGCTGTCATCCAGAGATTTCCCTTATATTTTACCATCCTCAGAAATGTGTTTTATCCACTTGGGAGAGCTTTTCTAAGTAATGAAGACTTTGAATGTGACTGCCACTGAAGACGAGAGAAGCCTCTCTTGTTGAAGTGGAAGGATTCAGTGGGTGACTTTCCTTCCTCTCTTTCTCTCTTTCTTTCTTTCTTTCTAAAGATTTTATTTATTTATTTGACAGAGAGAGAGAGAGGGTGCGAGAGAGAGCACAAGCAGGGGGAGAGGGAGAGGGAGAGGGAGAAGCAGGCTCCCTGCTGAGCAGAGAGCCCGATGTGGGGCTCGATCCCAGGACCCTGGGATCATGACCTGAGCTGAAGGCAGACGCTTAACTGACTGAGCCACCCAGGCATCCCAGTTGGTGACTTTCTGCACAGAATATGCAGCTCATGGATTTTCTTTAGTCCTACCAAATTTTCCCAAGATAGACACG